GAGGAAGATAATGAGTATCCCATCAGTCTGCTTCTCAAACAAAACAAGAAAATGTTGCAAATGATTATAAGATGCAATCTCAAACTCCGGCAGGAACCTGACATCTGATATGCCTTTTGACATCCCAATGCAAATCCTAACCCTTGAACGTGTGTTGGATATCATACGGAATCAAGCTCCCTCGTCTCCCACGTCTTCTACAAGAATCTGCACCCGTGCTTCTGACCAGGAAAATAGTACGGGTAGGCAACATCATACATTTTTTCCTTTAGTTTGACACGCGGACTGACTGCTGACCGCACTTGAGCAAACGCAAATCCAAACTCACGACATCGATTCGTTCCCGCAATCTATTTCCGCGCCTCACGTAAGCGGCCATGATAATCAAAGACGTATATGAGAAAAATATGGCGGCGCTCTAAGCTTGCTTTCTGCCATAAATCTTTCCAACTGGGCCCCGAATCCTCATCCACTCCGCTCTCAAGGGTAGAATAATGGGATGCAACGGAGAATCAACCATTTCGTTCTCTGCATTACGACTAGTCTAAGAGCTTACTCTGATTCTGAGTAAGGTTTCACTGATGTATAGGAAAGTCTTAAATGTCTGAATGAGAACAATGTCTTACCGGTCTTGCGTAAAGCTCGAAGTTGACCGCTCGGAAAATGGAAGATGTCTTTAGGGATCTAATCCCTTCTCCAGGTTCTGAACTTGAATTTGCCACAGGTTTTTCACTCGAAGTCGGAGCCTTCTCGTTCGTTCCCATAACGCATAGCGGAGCATGTGACGCAAGTAGCAGAAGATGGGCAGTGTTGTCCAAGTTTTCGGTAGAAAATGGAGTTGAAGCTTTCAGGAGCATTTACTCTGTGCAAGACAGGTGACACAAACCGAGATTTTCCCTATTTTAATGCGTCAGTATGGTCCTATATAAGTGTTAACCTGCATGGATATATTCCTTCCCTTCTACTAATTGTTCGTCACAACATATACCGCCCAGCAAACATAGTAACGTTGTGGGAACGTTCCCCCAGGGTCAATACAGTGTCATCGACTTTGAAGGTCAAAGACCAACGTTGCGTGAATATTGTTGCAGTGTTATGGCATTATGATACATTTTTAAATCGAATTTTAAAATAATATCTATGGTAGTTTCATGGAATATGCATCGCCAAATAGGGAAAAAAAATTTTTTTCGCAAAACGACAAAGAACCTATCCAGTGTTACTATCCTAGTAATACCAGATATTGGATGAATGCTGGACCAACATTGGTCACGATGTCTACCCAGCAAACATACTAACATTCAATCAGCGTTGTATGAACGTTAATTTTGAACCTTCCCAGTATTTGGTTGGCGTTGCAGCTAACATAAAGTCACTATTGCAATGTCGCTTATTGGAACACTCAGATGAACGTTGAAGTTCAACACTGGCTGAACGTTGAGCCAACATTGCAATGTCACTTATTTGAACCCTCATTCCCACCCTTGTAGCATTCCATAATTCGTCAATAATGAAGGCAGTGGATTAAATATTATTCTGTAAGTACTAATTTTAGTACTTTACAGGGAACAGCTATCCCCTTTCTGCTCTGTGGAGTACAGAAATCCTCCTTTTCTTCACTGAGAGTGGAAAAATAATTCTCCCTCCCAAATGCGAAGAATAGAGCCAATGTATATGAACGAGTTTGTAGAAACTCTTTCTGAGGGAATTGTACACTGCGATGCAAGGGTTTCTCATAAAGAGTATGAGCTTATTTACTGCCTGGGCTCCATGTTCCTGTCTCGAATATATGGATAATAAATTAATAAGTGTCCGATTTTATTGATTGTTATAATGAGGCAATGAAAAACATATGATGTGGTAATAAACACTCCTGTGAGGGATGTTTCCATGGAAAGAGGGAAGTGTACTTTGTGTACTGTGCGAAAAGCGAGACCCATAGTGGGCAAGAGGAGAACTTCAGCATTTCCTTAAAATTAACTCCTCCGTGGAAATTGGGCTCATCGGATCATCGCGTCAGTCTGATATTGCATCGATGATGGAATGGCAAAATTGGGAAGTCAATATTGAGCCAATATTTAGCCGGTATTGGCAATAATGGCAAGATGCATGTAGACATCGTGCCCAATNATCTGAGTGTTCCAATAAGCGACATTGCAATAGTGACTTTATGTTAGCTGCAACGCCAACCAAATACTGGGAAGGTTCAAAATTAACGTTCATACAACGCTGATTGAATGTTAGTATGTTTGCTGGGCGCGTACCACACATTCACAACCCAATAAAAAATTATTAATACTTCGCAACTAAGGCCCATGCACACTGAATGAGAAGAGCTGCGTTACGACTACTGCGGCCGTCGTAGTTCGTCGCAATCGGTCGCATTGGACATGCGTAGGACCTTCGCATTCGATCGCAGTAGGCTTCGCAATGGAATCGGACAAGTCGTCCAGTCGCATCTTCGCAGTGGCTCGTGCTACGTATCTACTGACTGCAAGCTAGGGAGTCATTAGATAATAAGGCGGCTATTTTGGTGAAATGATTTCGGCAGCAGATGATATCACCATTGAATCTCCTTGGGCGAGATACCTAAATGCATTGAATAAACCTTCAAGAGACGTCTGAATATCATTTATTTTCCTGCTTGTTTCTCTCCATGAATTTTTATCTGCATTTTTAAGTTGAGAAGCGCCTGTTCTTCAAGTGCTAAAGCCTCCTCCTTTAAGAGAGAGATGCATGATTTCAAAGTATTTGAGATCCACAGTATCTCGTATATATGTATCGAGGATGCATATACCCAATGCCGTACCGAGGATATTTGGCGCCCTGTGCGATATATCCCACCCCCCCCCCCGTGCGGGACATCAATCCAACACTCTTCCTCCCGCCCCCCCCCCTCCCTCTATACCTCTCCAGCTTCCCCAGCACTAACAATACATTACGTATTAATTTCTGTGCTTAATTTAGTTAAATTCACGATAATTTGCCTTTTTTTAGGTTTCATTAACTCTTAACTGTGTAGGGAGTGATATTACGCCACAATCTGTACTGAAGAATCGGAATGGGTGATGGAAATAGCACAGTTACGGGGTTAATATATTGAAGCGATTTGGCAGCCGATCAAGTCGGCACCCTGTGCGGGCGCACCGCTTGCACCCCCCTCGGTTCGGCTCTGCATTTACCCACCTCAGGATCATTGTCACCATTTGCCCATTTGCACTGGGGAAACGTATGGCTTGAAGTTGTTTGCCTGCCCTCTCCTCCAGCAGACAAAGAAGGGTCTTGAACAACTCAGGATACATTCTCATGGACAGAAGAAAAACATTCCTTGTCTTTGGTGATAATCTTTTCTATTTGAGTCGCGAATTATCCCATCAGATGAGGGGATATGTGTGCTGGACGGGTCCGCGACAAAAGGTCTAGTCATGAATAGTCCAATAGTCAAAACGTCCACAGTATAATTGGTTCACAACAAGAAGGTCCAGAGTCCAGATCAGCTAAAGGTCAAAAGGAGCAGTTACAAAAAAAGTCCAAAGTTTATTTTCCGTCCGTCTGCGAGAGAAGTTCCTCCTGATAGCTGTCAAAATTACATATTGTAGGCGATTCCACGGAGATACTGCATCAATTCGCGGCTACTATAATCTTGTACTATTGATTTGATTCTGATGTCTTTTGAATTTCAATTCGGCGTCTACTCTTTGGAGGATACCCTGCCACTACTCGATCTAGTTCCCTCTCAGCGTTGGTTTGTTCTTTCTGCAATTCCTGAAGCAGAAGGAACACGCTGGGATGCGATTCCTCGAAGAGGAAATTAAGCCTCCCATACCAACCTTCGAAACCATTCGTTGTTCTTGGTTCATCTGAATATACCCTGCCCCGGACATTCCATAACCTGATAGGGAACGTTGGACTTGGCTGTGGACGTCCTCTGACCCTTCTCCCGTCGATATCGTATTCCTTGAAGTAAGTTGGAATTGGAGAAGTTCCCATTGGCATGCGTTGCTACAGTGAAAGGAAGGCATCGCAAACGTCCTGCTCTAGAACAAATGAACTGAATGCATAGCTTTAGATGTTCCGTTTCCCTGCGCCAGTTCGATCACATCGTCTGTTTGAATTCCTGTTTTTTTTTCTCTCACTCTCTGCGATGCCGTCGGCAAACCTATACATTTTCTCCTGCTTGGATCAGATTTCGCGCAGATGAACCTTGGAACATTTAAAGACGATGTGGTATTTAGACCAAATGGCAGTTAGACCAAGTGTCCTTTCTCCCTTTTGTCCATTGTACCTTAATAACATTCGACCATTTGTCTTTAGACGATATGACGCGCACCCGTACAGGACGTACCTACCACTGTCAAGAGCTTTTCCCCTTGGGGCCGCAAAGTAGCAGTTGTATGTTATTTTTGGGTCGCAAAAAAGTGTTGCAGCACGAGCTCTCAAGTTGTTCACGGGCGTGTTGGATTTCGCTTGGGTGCTTTGCGACCAGCGTGTCAGATGTTTCGCGGTCAAGAAATAACAGCGAACTTCGCAGACGATTGCAGTTCGGTTTTGCCGCAGCTATTCGCAGTCAGTGTGCATCGGCCTTTACTAAGGGCTTGTGCAAGTTGAATTTGATTGGTTCCCCTTCCTTCTGCTGTCGCCAACGAGTTCTCTCTCTCTCTCTCTCTCTTTCGCGTTTTAATTCTTGAGAGGATTTTTCAAGGTGCCTTCGTCATCAAATGAAAATGTTAAGTCGAAGACTCTACTCTGCCAATCATGCCTTGAATTCTTGAATGCCCCTGGTTCCTGGACGAAGGGGAAGTCTTGAAGTCAATTTTCTTCAATCGGTCTCAGTAGGAGCCTGGAAAGCTGTTTCAGCCTGACAGGAGTTTTGCCAAAAGTTTCGAGTGCGGCCGATGAGATCTTCGGCAATTTCGAATCTTCGAGGGGAATCTGGATTGGATGGCATGGAGAAAATTCAAGCTTTGTTCTATCAGAAGAGGACAGGGATCGGGGATAACTCAGGCGGTGAAGTGCTGCGGTTTCTGGAAGGTCATCTCATGCTTGATAACTTTCGTGACCCCATCACACATGACTTTGAGGGCCTCATATTCCGTCAACCCCATCCGAACCTTGTTGCTCAGGTCAAACGTTGTGTCCTTCACTGCACTGTGCTCCCCCAGCGTCCCCCTCATCTTCATGAGCACATATCATGTGTTCATGCGTTAGACATTTACTGTCTTAATTTCTGCATCCATAATGCTGCAGAGAGAATTGAACATACCTGAAGGCTGTACCTCTTGCAGAGTTCTGCCAGGAGTCGAGGATTTCGACCCAAGTTAGGAAGTTTGATGAGGACTGATGCTCTAAGAGTCGTTCCCAAATTTGTGGGACAAAGTGTGAGGTATCCCAACTTCTCCGAGCGATGGAAAGACAAGACCTGCTCTAATTGGTTCACTCCATTCACCAATCTCTCGTATATCTAATATCATTCGTTAAGTTCGAATTTGGTCTACTATGAGGACATTTTTGTAGGAGAGAGTGAACTACTCGTCTGACGTTGGATCCAAGGGCGACGGAGATGATTTTTAGGTGATCTTGCTCGTTGACCCAAACTTGGAAGGTTTTAAACTCATTAAAAAACACGCCTCTTCCTTTAGGATACAGTTTTCTTGCTCCTGCAGCCTGAAAATATTTAGATCTGTATCTTACGACGAATTGAAGAAAACCAAAGCCGAAAAATGTAAGAATAAGGTAAAATCAATAATATAAATAATTTTGAGGTAAATATCTTGAAAGATAATAAACAATCTACAAGGAGATTTCGAAGACTCGGAAACTGACATTTCTAAATCATCTCAATAAATAAATGTATGGATAAAATGAATCGAAGTTAGACCGGAATAGAAATGAATGCAACGATTCTTATATCATTAGGACATGGGCTTACTCATTCTTAAGGGCGTTTCACACTTAGACACTTAGCGTGTCATGCGTCCTTTGCGTCAATGCTTGGACAGATTACTAGACGCGCGCGTGAACACGCATGTCCACACGCGTGTCCACTTACACAACACGCAAGGCTTGCGTTTTCAATAGAGCTCATCCCAATTACACACGCAAGCTTTGCGAAATCCCTAGATTGTTAGTGGACACGCGCGTGCACGTGTGCATCTACCTGCCTACCCAAGAATAGACTCAAAGGACGCATCCCCGCAAAAAAGTTCCTGCTAGAAATAGCAAGCTTTCCATCTGTAAATGTGAGCCACTTCCAGTAGGAATTGCAGCATTTCCAACCAGACTGTTTGCAAATTGGAATGCTGTTTCCGGCTGGAAATTCATGCTGCATTCTACAGGATCTCTGCTTTTCCAGTCGGAAAATGCCTACTGTCTAATTTCCAATTGGAACCAGTGACGTTTCTTATATGGCAATCCACCAGCCGGAAAAGTCCATCACAAACCGAAAAAAAACTAGTAATATTTTCGGCTGGAACTTTTTTGCCGGGATGACATGCTAAGTGTGATACGACCTTTACTCATGCAAGAAAGAGGAGAGGGATCTTTACCTCCAAGAACTTGTCGTCTTTCTGAAACACGAAATGAGAAAACTCTTTGGCAATCTTGCAGATGGAGGCGATGGGGTGATAGTGACCTTTGATTTTGCCTGTGAACTTGGTCAAGGCCTGTACGACGATCTTTTCTATCTCCAATAGCCCCTTTTCTGACAAATTCGGCAGCAGTTCGAAATCCTACGTTAGGATTTTCTCCAACTATTAATATGAAAGGCGAGGGAAAGGTCTGGAATTGACGTTCGCCATGACGTAACCTTTAGGTTTCTTGTGACTCGTATCCGGGTGGAGATGATTGCCCGTCCGGTGGAATCCATTTGGAGCGGCAGAGAAGGAATTTGCGAGTCCCAGAAGCCAGACTGGAATTGACACGTCACCCCATGGTATCTCTGACAAACTTCTTTAAAGAGGGGCCAGAAGACTTCGTACGACCACGTGTCTGGTGCGTACACGCCGATTTTTGAGTCAGCGTACAATACCCCTGAAACGTAAAAAAGGAAGGAATCGCATGTCTTCTCCTTTCCTGTACTTGCGAATAACGACTAGGGGCAATGTCATTTAGTTATCCGTCCGTTACACCTGATGCAAAATCCCACGCTAGCTCGGCATTTTTCATCTGTTTTTTCCTCATTTCTCCAGTAAATTTAATAGTTTTAATCTATATTTCTCATCTTACTTCCCTCAGATTCACGTGTGCTCAATATCCTGTAACTACAGTAGGGTTGTGAGCGGTGGTAAAATTACCATACGTTACTAACGTTACCGGTAATTTCCCAGTGTAGCTTAATGACAATATTACCGGCACCAGCGAATCTTGTTTTTATTTTGGTTTTCAACGGTTCATATTGCATGGGAAAATCCCTGATATCGCGATTTAATTTCCTGTGTTTTTTTAAATATAGATTTTCAAGTGAAAACAGCAAAGGACGATACGTAGGATTACGTGCATTCCTTTCCATGGAGCTCATGGCATCAAAGGACCAAGCTTCGTGAACAAAGAGTTGATAACTGAAAAACTTGGTAAGATCATCAATTCGATCATCAATCACTCGAATTCCGATTCATAAGCTTGAGCCGAGGTTCTCCCAGCATCCGGTGCGTCTTGTCCGCTGACATTCGAGGTTAGCGTAGATGTCGCTTTCAATTATGATTTCAGTTTAATTGTAGATATTCGATTATCTATAGGGTTCCCCTGCAGGGCTATTGATTTATGATAGCGTTATGAATTTGTGAGCTTAAATATGCTCTACGATCATGATCGAGTGGTGATGATGACTCGACCACGATCGATGGGATACTTAAACCAGGGTAATTGCGCAATTATGACTTATGAGCAGTTGGAGAAAGTAGTCGGGTTAGGATAGATGGCCAAAAGCCAAATTTTACTGCAATGAATGCCATATAAGTCTAATGTCATGACTATCCCGATTTTTCGGCTTTCGTCAAATGGCAACAAATTGTTGCCTTGCCAACAGTTTCTGCGAACGAACAGAGGATGAGTGTCTAATAAAAGTAGTCTCTTTTCAAAATCAATCCCCCCGTGATTGAGGCCTTTGTGTGCGGAACTGACCCGATTTGATGATGTCATGAAGACCGTTCCCGTTTTGGGTGCAACGGGTCCGGAGATGTTGGAATAATTCCTCAGTGAGAACCTCCTTCAAGATGGAAGTGGTGTTGGATTTTTGTAGTTCATTCCAAGTCAGGTCTACTTGGTGCAATTGAGACTTTGTCAGGGATCGATGAGGGCTTCCCGAACCTTTACGAGAGTTCAGCTTCTGCTTCAGTATTCTCCTGAGAAGAATATCCACGGAGAAAAATAACAAATAAATTAAAACTAAAAATGAGTAAGAAATGGCGTGGGTAAAGGAATAACTCTAACTAATACGACACCCCTGCAAACATTAGTCAAAGTTCATATCACGTACGTTAGAATTAAAAACAAAACTATATAAAGAAGTACGTACACTATAATAATATATAGTACATGATAACATACACTAAGTATGTTATTATGTACTATATAAGAAAAATAATCCTTCAAGCAGGACTCGAACCAGCGACCTAACGATGTCTGCTAGCCTTTTCCTCTACAGTCCAACGCTCTACCAACTAAGCTATCGAAGGACACACGCAAACCTTAAGGGAGGGTGTCTATTGCCAAGGGAGGGTGTCTATACTTATATGTGTCCATTGTGCGGTCAAGACAATACAAACGAAAGGAAAGAGGAAGAAATTAATCCATGCCTAGAGGCGTGGTAGTGAACCATTAAAGTAAGTCAGTCCAATTCCAGAAACCATCAACCGATTCACCATTCTTAATTCATTATGGAATCTTTCAGTCTCATTTGCGGAGTCGCATCACGTGTTATGACCCTTAACCCATCGACTGCCAAGTTTCGGAAATGAATTTGTACATCCTACGTCCATTCCATTCTTTGTTATACCACTGAGGGAGTGAATAAGGGCTAGGAGACAGTTCTATCTCATTTAAACTTCCTCTTTTAGCTTTTGAGGCAAAAAAAAAAACCAGAAATGCTAAACTGGAAAACGAAATTAGAATCCCAAGGCTAGTCATGGGTTGAACGCGCGCAAGAATTCTCGAATGTCCATGCGGTGGTTAATGCGTCATGCATATCACTGGATTTAGCACAAAGAGGTTCAGTAATGTTTTTATTAGTATACTCACAAGATTCACAATACTGTATTTCATTCGCGTGAGAGCTCCTTCATTCACAAGGATTTCCTTGAATAAGTCGTAAGTCTTATTTGGCACTGCAGTAGAATGTACTTGTAGAATCCTATCAAAAGTCATGTTCTGAGATTTACAAATTTGCTTGAGCTGACGAATGACGATAATCCTTCATAACAACCCCTGCGAGAAGTCATGGTTGCCTTCTAGGATGACATCCTCTGATGCTTTCTGAACTCTTTTTGAACTCTTTGACTATCAAGTGAAATCAAATGAGCGACGAAGGTTTTCCAAGTTATCTCGTTCCATCAACTGATGAAAAATGACCAGAAGCGTTGCCGTGAGCGTGACAGGAAGGATTATAATGCATCGGCCATCGTATTGTAATTTTTTTTACGAATCCGATCCTCTGACAAAAACAGAGTGGACGTGGAAGGCTGTAAGCTCTTAATGAATATTTGCAAGAGTGGAGTATTGGATATGAGAGCGGCTTTTAAAAATCGCCTGTATCCGGTTGGTAGGTGTCTGAAATCTTATAGGAACAAGATCGCAAGGTGGATATACAAACGACGAGAATATTTGATCGGCACATATATAAGACGGTTGAGATTTCATTTAGAAAGCGATCCAGGTGACGTAAAACAGTCCTGGTGACATTCAGAAAGTTTTTGCAGTTGCACGTTCCAATTATTACTAATATGAGTAAGTCTGGGAATAGATGGAAATCGTACCGTCGTGTCTGCCAAAGTGGTAAGATGGCTCGAGGATTCCAAGCAGGACGAGTCCTGACGACGGTGAGGACCTCCTTCCCTCCGACGCCATTCTCAAGACCTGGCTGGACTCCAACTGGGTCGAGCCTAGCAGAGGACTTGGGAAAGTGTCGGATGGACTCGTCGATCAATTGAAAAGGAGCTTTCATGTCGTCGAGGGGTAACGCTGCCCCTGACAAGGACATCCTCTCCCAACTGGTCTCCTCCTTCTCCTCGTCCTTACTCTCGTCATGGTCCTTGCGCTTGTTCTTTTCCTCAGCCTTCCCGGCCACTAATAATCCCTCCAGGCCCAGCCGTTCCTACAGAATGTCAATGAGAACTCAAAAAAATAATTTATGCTTGTCTTCGTTACTCTTGGTTTAAAATGTAGTAACTTCGATCCTCATTCTACGACAAATATGCACAGGATAGGCGTAAAGATTAGAACAGCTTTTTTCCTAGTGAAATCGCGGAACATATCAAAGTGACATGGCAAGCATATGCTTGATTGCGCCTGCAATCTTACAGTTTTCTTCTATTGGGATATTGATTTAATTTACGCGGATACCCCCCCCCCTCCGAGGTAAAGTGAAAGCAGCGCTGATACCTTGTCTGCGTTGTTCGAGAAGAAATTGAACCCTCCCTGGAGGGTGTCGTGAGACACGTCCAGGGACACAGATGAGGACTTCTTGGAGCAGCACCATCCGAAACAAGAGGCAGACATAGGCACCGTCGTCATTACTTGCACTCTGAGGACGGAATTCCCAAGTTGATTTCATGAAAGAGAAAGGAGGAGGTCGGGTAGGTCTACAAGAGAGATAGAGAAGAGGCTTCCAGGCACGTGTTGCTGAGACCAGAGAAAAGTTACAATTATTCCCCTCAGAAATCGTTTGATCACCGTCAGCAAAATGTGGTCTCAACGACCCCTAGTATGAAGAGCGCCTTACTGAAGTGCTGGGATCTGAATCTTGTTTATCTGTTGCGATCAACATCACATCAGGGGAATCCAGGCTTTTATTCAATAACACTGCGTCAGGTGCAAGCATGAAAGAAAGAAATTGTATAAAAATGCGAAAATAGAAAGAATCTGAAATGTTCGAGCTGAAGAGAAAAGTGGTGTCCGAAGTCAGCCAGGACATTAGAAAAAAAAATCTCAAATAAGGCTGAGCGCGAACAGGATTATAAATTAGGGAGGAGCCCTTTGGTATTTTTTTACTGACCTTCAGGTGGACACAATTGGTCCGGCATAGAACTTATACGGGAAAAAAATAGCCAGTAGGAAACTTCTAGGAATGGTAAAATACGACCAAGGTCGTCCTTATTTTCTTAATCCCTTTAGTTACAATAATTATACTTAATGGAGGGGGAGGGGAGAAAAGGCATCTGGGTGAAATCCCTAGTAAAATCACCCTTCTGCCTCCACCCTGCATGGGTGCTCCACACAGTTGCAATTACCATATAGGAAGCACCATAACTTGAAGAGCAAGATGAACGCATTGAAGTAGATACTGAGCGCATGACATTTTTACATCACGTGTACACGCATCGAAGACTTGGGACCTTCACGCATCCAACGGCAGGCAGTGTTCTCAAGTACCCAGAGCGCATGCGCAGAACCAACTCCATTGTTGGAAGCCGCCTGAACCCTAAAACCTAGAGAGGAGGGAGTCTGCTGGCAATCGGTGTCACACTGCCATGTCCTTCATCGCAGAAGGCAAGTCGCCCTCGTCCATGTATTTTAGCTTGTTTCTTTGCAGTGGACTAGCCTATGTTACAGAATGGCCTCTTTACGTTTTTCATTTAAATCAACGAACACCTGAAGCATTGCTTCATGGTAGAAAGTACAGAATGCTTCTTGCTTTTATAGAGGACCCTATCTTCTACTTCTTTTTCTGCAAATTTCATTAAGGTGCTACTAAACTACGATGTTTGGGGCGTTCCTTCATTTGAATTCTGTTAACCACTTCCTCATGTAGGCGTATTGGTGCTATGTGTTCTTTTAATCCGACTTCCATTCCTCGAATGCTGTCGATGCACGCAGCTGTCGAGATCGAAGGGACAGCGACAGTGACGGACGTGAAAACGGAGGGAAACTACGCAACAGTAACGCTAAATTTCCAGCCTCTGGAACTGATGGACGCGTCTCACGAGAGACAGCGATCGAGCAAATCTCAATTGGAACAAGCCATTGCCTCCATTCAAGCCCAATGTGACACCACCATGCCCCCCCTGTGCGACACCCAGCGACAGCAAATTCTAGCTAGTCTCTATCAGCATTCCAGCATTCCTAGACCCCCAAATGCCTTCATGGTGTTCGCCAAGGAATGGCGTCCCAAAATCTCCCAGAAGCACCCGGACGAAAACAACAAGGAGATCAGCGTTCGACTGGGACAAATGTGGAAGGGTTTGGACAAGGAGATGAAGAAGAAGTACTACGCCTTAGCTCGACTCGCTGAAGAGGATCACAAAAAGAAGTATCCAGGTGAATGATAAATTTGAACCCAGACCACCCAGTCGCCAGAGAACAGACTGCATAAAAAGAGTTATTTCCATATCTCCCTGCAGATTACGTGTACAATCCGAGAGAGGCTCGACTGCGGAAGGCGTTGAGAGAACTGGGCATCGAGCCTCAAGGACTTGCCCCTTCTGCTGATCCCACCCAGAATCCCAAAGTCAGACAAAGGGGAGTCATGAATCGACTCATCGCCTCCACAGCTAACATTAGGGTAAAAAGCCATTTCCTTCTTCCATTAGCAAATGACATACCGGCGCATCAACAGTGTCATAACATGCATCAATCCCGTGACACCCGGCATTAGGTCCTTGTCCTGATTTCTAGTTATAGCAAAAAAATCTCATTTCCTATTATTAGAGAGTATGTTATCTCGTTTTGAATTGCTTTCACTTTTTTATGAACAGAGTCATATGCTGCAAGAGGCTGCAAGTTCTCCCCAGCCCTCGACCAGTACCGGTAGTCAACAGGGATATGAACATGCCGTTCCCATCGTTCATGAATTGTATAAAAGTCAGGACAACAAAGCTCCGAAAAATCTTTCTGTTGCCATGGATGGGAAGGGAGAAAGTTTCCTCGCGAATCAGGAAGAACGGAGGAAGACCTTCCCCATGGATCCACAGCAGAGTCAACAGAACTCTCTGAATATGCGGGATTTCTTCAGGAATGACGGGAACAGGATGCAAGGAAATCAACGATTCTCTGGGATCTCTCTTCAAGGAAAAAGTTTATCCCCTCTTTGTATTCAAATTCCAAGCAACAATGGGTAACAAAGACAGGGCAAGACATAGATGAAATAGGCGTTCGGAAAGTTAATTTTGTCAAACCAACGGCATAGGCTGAATTTCTCCTCTTGTCTAGCTCGAAGGAAAATCAGGATTTTGGATTTTGCAGATCTCTGCTCGTATTATATCCTACGGAGGTATATTTTTGCACAAATAATAAATTGGGTCAATATGAGTCACTGTTTTCAAGGTGAGGGGATGCACCTGCACCCAGGCACTCATAAACTTCCACCAATGCTGATTATATGATAACTGCGTTGAAGGCGAGGGAATAGATTACGAACAGGTTGCAAACTTATAAGCTTCCCCGTCAATTTCGATAGAGAAGAGAAAATCAGATTTCGTCAACTCTGCATAGGGTAAAAGACCCAGTGATGGACCGGTCCCCAGTGATGGGCCACAGCACATAAAAATTCCAATAGCTAAGCCTCCATGGCACGCATGGCTGTTGTGACATAAGCTTGCAACATTCAAGTATATACACACTTCAGAGGTGGTCATGCGAACAAATGCCTAGATTTTTTAATTTTCCTGCGACGAGGCCCATCACTGGGTCTTTTACCCTATATCGTTTCCTGAAGGAAAGTGTTCGGACGTTCTTTTCCACTGTCGCACTGCCGCAGACTTTAAAATTATTATTATTTCTTTCCAGAACGTGCTGCAGAGAGAAGCAATGAAGGGAGAAACGGAATCGAAGGAAGCGGAGAAGGACTTCGTCTTCCTCCTTTCATGGTTCGAGAGAGTCCAGGAGAACCGATCCGATTTCGACCGCCATTGGATCCCGAAGAGCTCGTCCGAATTCCCACTCACACTGTGGATAACATCATAAAATTCCACGTGGAAGCCATGCAATTCTGTGAGTGTGTGCAATCCACAAATCTGTTCTAGGATTCTTTTTGCAAGTCGTCGGGGGTCATTTTCCCCGACACCATGTACGTAGATCCCCCTCTTGGTGCAGGGAAGGAGTTTCAACATACCATGGAGACGAATGACTCAAACCGCCCTGGTGACCACGTCCAAATTCACGACTCCCAGGTCTGTTGAAATGTAAAAAAAACGCGCGAAGAAATATCCATAGAAAACGAACTTGGAAAAAATTCACCCATGCTGTTATTCGCCAGGAGGAGGATGGATTCCATGGAGGCTTCGAACCGATCGATTATGACGAAAGAAACTCCGGTGAGGAAAACTTTCCGAAGGAATACGGAGAGGGAAGCTTCACCACGGAATATGGCGGAATTCCATATTCTTCTGAGTATCATCAATACGACCAAGTAGATAATCGGTCTGGATCCGAATGCATCGCCCAGGTATTCGAGAAAATCGTTGAGAAAGTGCCTTAAGCATATTTTTAAAAAGAGGAATACAATGTGTCATGACTTTTACCCTTTGGCTTGTGGAAAGACAAGTTTTGACGCGTATTCCGTGGATTCTAGGCAATTCTGGGAATGGACAGGGACTGGGAGCGGGAATTTCGATCTTCTCACTGCCCAACTCCTCCTCCCAACACGCCTGAAAACGTGAGACCACAGATTATCCACGGAGAGAGATTTCTACATAAAAGAATGTGACACGTTTCCTGAACAGTTCTCGATTGCTGAGAAGCAAAACTCAAGAAAGAACGAGACCGAGGTGAACTGGAAAGGATATGAGGTCGTTAGAGAGGAATGGAAGACGGATGAGTTTGAGGGCGGAAACGAGGCTATATCTGTGAAAGACGAGGAAGACTAGACTATGTATGAGAGGCGGGAGACAAAATGTGAAGGTGAGGCCGAATAGAGAAATTAGGAAATATGGAGAATGGAGAATATAGAAGAATAGAGAAATGAGCATTGGAGGAGGCGAAGAATCCACGCATCTCATCACATAATGGACCGTTAAAATTCTTCTCCAAAGATGCTAAGTTTTAAATGTCAAGAGTGCAGAAATGTCTAGTTATCCTCTATCCAATTCCTCTGAGAATTTCAAAATTGTTGCTGCTGTTGAGTTCTTTCGAAATAAAGTCAATCAATTTGCTTGTGCGACTTTGTTCCACTGATGTTCGATGATTCATTCTCACGTTTTACGCCATTGATTACTACCATGGAGTTGATGCATACTTTGCGCAGATCAAGGATGCTTTATTGTTGCCAGAGGACCTACTTGTGCATTTCTCCTCGGAACCAAGTCTTCAACTATTTTGAGTAAGAGTGCCAACAAAGTGAAGGGCAAGCTGACGGAGGGGGAAGACAGACAAAATGATGCACAAACTGAAGAGGAGACCCAGCATGAAATCGATTTCGCGAGGTGAATTTCCCTTTCCTTCTCGATGAATTCCCTACAGGATACCATTATGATGTGGAAGTTAGTTGAACTCCACAATCTTGGATAGCTGCTGACTCGCACGTACAAGCCACAGAAGGGCCACGCCTGTCCGCAAGGCCTTTTTTTTTTAACTCCACAGAATATTGCT